TTTAACTGGCAGAGCTGAGAACAGAGACATCAAGACAAAAATGGCCACGGCTTGCGGTGTGGGGCAAATCAGTCTAGTAGGAGGCCAGACTGGGTAATTTTCAGTAGAGTCGTATCTATTTCTGTGCCCTCATTTCTTTCTCTTTCTGGTTTTCCTTAAGAATACAACAAAATGCAAATACTCTACTGTAAGACCATATAGCACCCAGATACGCATAAAACAGAAACAACAGTGCATCCAGTAAAGGGAAACAGTACAATTTCATTACTGAGGTCTTTTCTTCCTTCCTGGTGTACTACAAGCGGCCTTACCATTTGGTATCTTTGATAATCCTCCTTACCTGAATTTAAATCAAGCTGTTTAAATTGTGTTAATAGCTATTCCTTATTTTAATTGGATGAGAGGATTTTCCCCTTTCCCCACACCACCCTTACTACTGAATTCCAGCAGCCTGTAACCAACATATGGCAAAGATGTTACAGCACAGGAAGTCTAACCGTATTAATGGGCTGTGTTCCCGAATATCACCGTAAATTAGTTATTTGGAACCTGGAATTTATTTCCCCATGGAAATAGTGGTTAGGTTCCCAGTGGGTCTACAAAAGGTTGCTTAACCAGGAATGCAGCAGACATGAATGCTGCTACCTTTGTGTTGATCTCTGCCTGTTACTCCGAGGACTGTGGATTTCTCTTCTATCTTTTAGCTAACTGCCACTTTTGGGATAGTTTTCTCATTACAAAGTACAGAAAAAGTTGACTATCACTTACATTTCTACCCAAATTCGATCCTTAATACTGCTTTGGGGTGTTTTTATTAATCATTACTTAAAACATAAATTCAGTTGGTGAATTATTTTCCTTAGTCTAAGGTCAGGAATCAATAGAATGGCCCAAGAATGCTTATAGCTTAGGAGATGTCATTCTCTGCCTGCAGCATGAAGAGAAGGCAGTGAAATGGCACCAGGGACTGTCTTGCCCCTGCTGCTGCCAGTGATCACTTGGTTCCCTGAGGATCTCTTTCATCCCTTATGGGATTAAAAAAAAGAAACAAACACTTTCTTGGTTTCTGGCTTGGCATCAGGTAATGGTTCCCAGGTCTCAGTGCCCCTGGGTTAGGTGTTAGAACTTGGGGATTACCTGATCATGTGTTTTGACTATAATTGAATCTAATTACAGAAATTTCATATTTGAATAATCTAAAGCTATGAGGTGGGTATCTTTCCAATACAACGCTGGTCTCAGAAACATGTTCTTCAGGGCACGGTAACTACAATAAAAACCAAAATCTTTGTTTTAGATAGAAATATTACCAACAAATTAAGGACATTAAAATGCTAAGATTATGCACCATTTCCCTATCCCCAGATAGACATCATGCAAACAAGCTTGTTGGTCACAAGAGGGATTCGTAAATGGGTGCAGTACGTATTTCCAAAACAGAAATGCTTAAAGTGAAA